AAAATGTCACGCAGGTGTGGTGCACCTATCATCAAAATTAGAAAAAAGCTAACATTTATAAAATCAACTTCTATAAGTAACAATTTCCTAAAGAAATTAAGCATGAAAGCAAGAATGCACAAAATGTATCATTATCTTCTAGAAAAATACAGATCAATATCAGAAAATTTTATATTAAAAAAGCATAGTCCAAATATGAAATATCATTAAGAGAGCTGACTTCTCTTTGACACTTGCTCCCTTCTCTTCTGTATACTTCAGTGTATACAAAAATGTATGAGGCAAAGACTATTTGTTTGAACACTAGACTACTACTAGAACGATAATATTACGACTACAATATCAAACAACCATGGCTTTGGTGCAGATTACCCCACCTCACCCTGTATAGAACTGTTATTATAAGAGAATGAATTAAGATATTATATCATCCTCCTATCTTCGACAAAAAGAATTGCTTTCTTCAATGAAAGAAGAAGGTTAGACCTTTGCTATGGGGAAGAAAGGAAGATTTTGGCTCCGAGTGGAAAAGCATTGACTTACTATCTATTTGTATTGGTCTTTTTCACTCGTATGCGGATTTCTTATTGCATAAAAGAGTCCGTTGGGATTCATAGAACCAAAAGCGTGGAAGCATTCGGAGTTTGCACATGCTTTATCCTATTATAGTGGGATGAACTCAATTATCAACATGATTAAATCACAGTCAAGACTGTGGCACTGACACCTTACAATTCCAATTAGAACCTGTAAGCTGTCCAAACTTCAGCTTACTTTCTTACAACGAGTAAAAATTTTACAGCAAATTGCAACTAATAATAATACCAAAAAAATTTGCAGTTCTACTTCCTTCTCTTTCTCCTTGACAAATGATTACAAGATATAATGATCACGTTAAACTAGTCACCGACAAACTGAACCATCATATTATTCATTCACAGTACATAGCTGGATGCAAAGAAGGCATACATATATCATTCAATTTGCAGGAATGCACGAAGCTACATACAACATTAAAGAATTATTATACCTTTTTTTGCATCAGGAAGTCGGCCTTCCCTGGGAGAAATTTTTGAATCCTGAGGACAAATGATTCAGGCGCTACCACAGTAGATGATGTAACCATCAGATGCTACAAGAAACAAACAAATTACTGTACCTTTCTACCAGGAACAAAGTCAATAGTGGGGCCTCCAGTGACCTCAACGGCAACTACACCAGCTAGCTGAATTGAGTATATTTAACACTATCAGATTTTGGAGGATTGTAAGAAACTTTACAGCATTAGTGAGTAGTGTATACTAGAAAATCTCATTGTTCTTGTCATAGTAGATGCATGACAATATTTGAGTCTGCCATGGTGAATGTGTAAGATTGAAACAAGTATTGATGCTAGATCTAGTAAAAATGAATATCTGAAACTCTTACATCTGCCTTTTCCTAACATTTACACTCATCACTTTGTACTTCAGTACCCATGACTGGTGCCACCTTTGGCTCACTGAGGCAGTAGGAACAAATATATGAAAAATTCACTTAAATTTGGGATATGGATTTTTTTCTTCTCCCTCGACTTATTGGTGAGGTAGGGAGTTAATGTGAACCGCAATTCTGGCCAATTTCTCATCAACTCCAGATGCAGTTTCTATCACATTAATTTATCATTCCAAAAAAAAAAAAAAAATCACTACTTCTAATTACAGTACAGGACTTCTAGTTTTAAAAATTTCCTTCACGACTCTGGTAAATAAAGTTTTCCTATTACAATTGACACTTTCATTCAGCTTTTATTTAGGAGTTATGAAGAAGCATATATAAACTTGTTTGCTAAAATACATAGGTATGTATAGCATATGAATTTGGAAGATGCACGCATCTTTGTCTGGCACTAAAAAGAGCTTTAGAAATTATATTACAAACCTACTATGCTAATAAAATTTCAATTCTACTTCAAACTCAAGTTGGAAAAGATTAACAGCGAGAGAAGTTGAAATGCTTAACAACACAAGTCAAGTACAAGCGCTTGACCATGGTAGTAACACCAACATCCATGCAATACAATCTTCGGTTCTATAAGTAGCAAGCCCATGATCACAAGTCAACTTTAGAAGGTAAAGAAATTCATCTAATTTCCATTAATAAATCAATTATCAATCACATTACATTTCTCATATTTACATTAAAAACACATATAGTTCCTTTGCGGAATCTATTCCACGTAAAATGCATATCTACACGACCGTAATAGTCTCAGTTACCTGGTATAGGTCTGCATAAGTAATCTTCGGATGTTTAGATTTCACTTCCTCTGTTATAAAGGGAAAAATGGAAAAGAAAAACATTAAAATAAAGAAAAAGAAAAAAGTTCTCACGCTCATTAGCAGAGACAAGAGACTAGAATCTTCTAAGAGATCCTAAAGTAGGATTAGAAAACAAAAAATAATTCCTATGCTCGAAGTGTAAGTCAAGCTTGTTAATTTGCAATATTTCGTGGATATTCTCGGTGAGTCAAAAAAAATTGTGATACAGCTCCACTATAATTTCTAAGCTAACATTAGTGAAGATACTTTGAACCTTACTCAGATAACTTATTTAATTGACTTTCAGTATACACGGTCGTCGACGCAAAGAATAAAACACTGAAGGAATCAGAAAGCGTACCACAAAAATCAATAGCCTTTTTCAGACCATTATTAGAACCATGAGAATACTCCTCCTGATTCCTAATCGATCCATTAGGCCCACCAGTTTTAGTACTCACATCATACGTACCAGCGTCGTGCCAACTACAAAACACGCTACAGTCTTAGAAACGTCGAAAATTAGCTACAGTTGTTTGTCAGAAATCACTCAAACAAAATCAGAGAGAAAGTAAACCATCGCTCAACAGACAAAAAAACCATCGAAATCGGAGAATTCCTATTTCGTCCATATCACGCTGTCCTAAAAGTAACTGTCCGCCTCCCTCATTCAATCAACCGAACTCGAGAGAAAAACGAAACGACACAAATAACAATCCGAGAAATACATCATTTATTCCTATACTTGCAAATAATCAATCAAAGTCAATGATGAGAAAGCATACGCCAAACGAAGCATGATCGGCGCGCAGTTCCGGTTGGCAATGAGAGCGCGGAGGTCACGGCGAGCCTTTTCGATCTCCTTGAGGTACTCGGTGTCTACGACCGGTAACGCCATCGGAATTCAACACAGCACCAAAACTGAAGCAGTCGCGTCGTACAGTACAGAGATCACCTGAGGATGAAGACGAAGATGAAACAATTGGATTGGATGTTCTAATACGCAGATGAACGAACGAAACAGGAGTAAATGCCTCGACCTCAGCAAAAAAAAACCGCCCCTAAATTGATAACGCAAGCTCTCCAAAGCTCATCCTTTGGAGCATGAACCGCCACGCGCCTTTATACAAAAAATTTCAATCAACCATTTATTTATTATTATTATTTGTTATTATTGTTTATAGGAGGAAATTCGGAAGTGAAAATTAATGGATTTATGAAATTTAATGCATCATTTTTTCTCAAATTTCTACTACAAATTACGTATGCAATAAATAAAAAATTATTCAATGAAAATGTATGGAAGTTTTTCAAAAAAATTAATCCTAAATTTATACTAAAAAAAATGAGAAGAACGTGTAAATTAAGATAACTACCTCGAATGTATACCAAATTTAAACTTATGATTATAAGATATGAATTTATTTATCTTATATCTTATATATAAATAGTCATAATAAAGTTCAATAATAATAATAAACCGAGTATAATTCAATTAGTAAAATTCTAAAAATAAAAAAAAAATAAAAATTTTCTTTTTAGTTTTTATCAAACCACATTTCGAATTAGCCCCCGATCGTATTTCTCCCAAGATTAAAGAAAAAATGGGCAATCTGTCTCTATCGTCCCACTAAAAAAAATATTGAGCCTGTTCCTAATAGAAATATAGTGAAATCACTTTTCCTATTCTTTCCCGGACCCTGCGACTAAAAAAGATGTTCACTTCTTAAAACATCCATATACGTAGACGGGTACAGGGGAAGGGATCAAATTTATCCCGACGGGAGTAAGAGTAATAATAATGTATCCCATATACGTAGGCGGGTACAGGAAAAGAGGTCAGATTTATCCCGACGGGAGTAAGAGTAATAATAATGTATCCCATATACGTAGGCAGGTACAGGAAAAGAGGTCAGATTTATCCCGACGGGAGTAAGAGTAATAATAATGTACCCCATATACGTAGGCGGATACAGGGGAAGGGGTCAGATTTATCCCGACGGGAGTAAGAGTAATAATAATGTTTATAATGCTATAGCAGCATGTATAGTAAGCAAAATAGTAGTCTCACTTGTCGTCTAACACCACCAAAGTGAGTTTGATATAGCATTTAGAGGAGAAGAAAGTCTTAAGTGAAAAATACGATATTCACTTAAGTTAAAGATTGCAAAATTTTTATCTTCATAATATGGGCTCGTAATTCGAACGAGGATTCGGATTTTAGGAATTTTTTAGAATGTTTTTTGGTAATGTGATTCTTCTTTGATGGTTGATTCACTTAATGTTTCGAGAATTTGGTCTTAGGATCCTTTTGGGTGGGGTTTGTGCCCTTTGCGCAAGCACACAGTCGAGAAAGTAGCAATCAGGGTTACCCTGCATTTGCAAGACGGATCGAATGAGGAAGCCAATAGAACCAATGCTCCGCCAACTAAGCTATACACCCAAAAAAAAAAATAAGTGGGAGGATTGATGCAGAAAGGCAAAGAGAGCGGCCCCTCTGCCTTTACACTTGAGGGTCAATCTCTGTCTAGCCCGAGAAAACCTTTTAACTCTTCTATTACCTTTTGAGAGACCTACGCCCCATAGAAACTATCTACTTGAGATTGTCTCTTGACCTATAGGTCCTAACACAATGTTTTAGAATACTAGCTCTTCTAGAGTGGTATCTCACTAATGACTCAGGCCAAGATTAACTCCACATTTTCACCAAGGCAGGATCGAAAAGAACTTATTTTACCAAACGTCACATTTTCGAGCAGTTACACTAAATCTTCTGGTTGCAAACATGTCATACATAACATTCACAAACTTGACAAGTCAGAAAGAAGAGGAGGAGGCCTTCGTACCATGGTGGCTTGTTCGTATGCATAAGCGATCTCGATCAGCTTCGGTTCGGTCCCCTTAAGACCCGAAAAGAGGACGCCAAACGGCTCTCCGTTTCCTTCGTATCCAGCAGGGACAGAGATGGCAGGGTATCCCCCAATAGCTAGAACAGTTTCGGCTCCAGTCCCTAATGTTACCATTGCATCCAGATTATAGGTCTTCATCATTTCCTCAAATCCATCTCTTGATAAGTTGGACATCATACTAATCGCTGCCTTCTCTGCCTCTCCGATCCCCTCGGTTTGCTCGGATAAAAGAAAGGCATCTTGGCCATACTCTTTCATGTTTTCCTGCAATGCAAAAAAGCTATATCAATCTCGTATTTTATCCCACGAGACCATTCGGCCCAACCCCCATAAAGATTGTGAGATCTCACGTCGGTTGGAGAGGGACGAAGCATTTTTTATAAGAGTGTAGAAATCTCTCTTAAAATCGTGAGGCTGACAGCGATACGTAACGGGTTGAAACGGACAATACCTGCTAGCTATGGACTTGGGCTATTACAAAGGGTATCAAAGCTAGGCACCGAGCGGTGTGCCAACGAGGACGCTGAATCTCGAAAGGGAGTGGATTGTGAGATCCCACATCGAATGAAGAGGGAAACAAGTGTCAGTGAGGACGCTGGGCACCAAGGGGGTGGATTGTGAGATCCTACATCGGTTGAAGAGGGGAACAAAGCATTCTTTATAAGGGTGTGGAAACCTCTTACTTGCTAGCAAATGTGCTTGGGCTATTAAAAAGATCCCCATAAGGTTGGAGAAATTACAAAATCTAGTAATTATTGGGAGACATGCAAATTTGTGAACTCACATCTAACGATTATTATGAGACGGGTTAGATTATTACGAGACGGGTCTTACCAGTTCAGGATGGTTGTTGTTGAAGGCAATAATGTCAGCTAGAGACCTAACTGGACTCTGGATCAGGTTCTTGAGGTAATCGTTTATGGTGAGCTTGAACTCAGCTATCATTGCAACTAATTCACCACTTTCATAAGGATTCAGAATTGCAGCTACATTTGATATTTGAAGGTTGTCTACAATGGTTGCTCCACTTTTCCTTCAATTTTAAGAAAGAGCCAAACTCAGTACAAACACAATATTTCACTAAACACAGTTCAAGTGGCATCCAAAACTTAAATAAGACTAGGTCAAGCAACACAACTAAAAGTTTAGAGACTAAATCGAAAGTTCCAAAAAAGGTTTTAGTTTATGTAACATCCCAAAATCACCGCTATCAGATATTGTCTTTTTTGGGTTTTCCCTTTCGAGCATCCCCTCAAGGTTTTTAAAACGCGTCTACTAGGGAGAGGTTTCCACACCCTTGTAAATAATGTTTCGTTCTCCTCCTCAACCGAAGTGGGATCTCACAATCCACCCTGCTAGGGAAAGGTTTCCACACCCTTATAAAGAATGTTTCGTTTTCCTCCTCAACCGAAATGGGATCTCACAATCCACCCTGTTAGAGAAAGGTTTCCACACCTTTATAAATAATGTTTCGTTATCTTCCCCAACTGACGTGGGATCTCACAGTTTATTAAGAAATGGACTTCAAGAACTAAAAAAATGCACTAGCTCATTGCTAAGATCCCTCTTTAAATTTCTCAGCAGTAAGAAATGAAATCATCTGTGGGCCAAAGGAGAAAAAAGAGTTAACAATGAAGTTATACCTTAGCAGCTTGACATGATGCTCAAAGGTTTGAATGGCCTTGGATCCATTGGCATACAAATCAGAAAAGGGATGCCTAACAATGCCCAATCGTTTTCCTGTAAGCCCATCTCTCTTCAGAAATTGCTTATAACCACCAGAAGGAATGAATTGAGATCCAACCTTGGTTGCCTCAGAGTCCATTGGATCAAACCCAACAATAGCATCAAGAACATAAACAGCATCAGAAACTGTCCTGCATATGGGCCTGTCAATCCCCCCCATCCCCTTATGTAAGACACTGTGCAACTCATACTGTGTTTGGAAAACTAACAGTTTAAGCTCAATTTCATAAGATTTCCTGGTTAGGAATCACGACTCACGACTCTCCACAATGGTATGATATTGTCCACTTTGAGCATAAGCTCGAGAGTATTCCTTGGTTTTATAAACCCATGATCATTCCCTAAATCAGCCGACGTGGGTCCCATCAATAACCTAGGATTGACTTCATCTTTTATAAGCAAGAAGAACACTGAAAGAAAAAGTACAGAAGAACTTGAAGGATTCAGTTTAGTCAAGTTTTCATACCCGATTGTGTCTTGCCGGGGAGAGATGGGGATAACGCCGGCACGGCTCGTGAGACCGACGGTGGGTTTGATGCCGACGACAGAGTTGTAATCGGCCGGACACAAAATTGAGCCATCTGTCTCGGTTCCTAACGACACCGCCGCCATGTTGGCGGCCACTGATATGGCTGAGCCACTGCTTGAACCGCAGGGATCCCCGCCTTTCCCATATGGGTTCTGTATGTTCAATCAAATTTGTCATTGAAAATTATGAAATCAGCATTGTTTCATACATATTATCCTGATTTTTTTTTTTTTTTTTTTTTTGAAATTTAACTAAAAATTTAAATATTTTCTTAATAAACATGAAATTCTTAGTGGAAAATGGTAAAAAAAAACAAAAATAATTTCCAAAATAAAAACCAAATAATTATAAAACAAGCTAAGGTGATTTGAATTTATTCCTATTTTTCAAAAATGTCTCTTAATTTTATTTAAAAAATTATTTTTGTATAAATTTTTTATATTTTTAACTTAAAATTTTAGACGTGAATGCTTTTTTTATTAAAATAAATAAATAATTACCCAATGTAATTATATTTTTCTTTATTTAATAATTAAATTATAAATTTAATTTATGATCTTTTAAACTTATGCCTAAAATATTTAGTAAGCTTAGATATAAAATTAAATTTGTTTGATATAAATTTGAGAATTAAAAATTTTATTACAAATAAGAAATTTAAATAAACATAAATTTAAAATATTTAAGATTTGTATTTTTTTTTTTTTTTTTATTGAAAAGAAAATAGGAATTGGAAACTAAAACTAAAACTAAAAATTACTGACCAGGGCTTGACCGCCGCGAGCGCACCAGCCATGGGGAATCTTCAGAGACCGAGACCCATACCACTCAGTGAGCGAAGTTTTCCCCAAAATCACCGCACCGGCGTTCCTCAGGCGGTGGACCACCGTCGCATCTCGAGGCACCACCGAACCTAGCAATGCGAAGGAACCGGCCGTGGTATTGAGCCGATCCTTGGTTCCAATTGAATCCTTGAGCAGCACTGGAATTCCATGGAGTTCGCCAAGGGCTTTTCCTCCAGCGAGCTCCCTCTCTCGATCGGCGGTTTCCGCTTGGGCTCTCGCATCAGGATTCACTTCGAGAACGCTTCTAAGCACTGGATTAAGAAAATCGATCTTGTTCAGGTAGTGATCGAGAAGTTCTCTGGAGGTGAGCTTGTTTTGGGAGAAAGCGTGTTGGATTTCGGCGATGGTTGCTTCGTCGATCGGAAATTGAGAACTGTTGGCTCCGACGAAGAGTAAGAAAACTGAGAGGAAGAAGACGATGTTCATTTTTGGATGGTGGCGACGACGGCGGCGGCGGTAGGAGCGTATGGACGGAGATTGGGACTGTCTGGATTTGTAGAGGAAAAGGATTGGATCCTGGAAAGTTGACATGTCTAATCTTGGTCAATGGATTGAACTGCATAAATTGATTTTAAATTGATTTCCAATAAGAGATACCCACACGTCGAGATCCCCTCACCACCTCCTAGTCGGGGATGGACAATCCTCATCCCATCCCCGACTCCAACTCCGTTTAGTTAAGAGGATCACCACCTCCTAGTGGGGACGGAGAATACAATCCTCATCCCATCCCCGACTCCAACTCCGTTTAGCTAACGGGATCACCACCTCCTAGCAGGGATGGAGAATACAATCCTCATCCCACCCCGACTCCAACTTCGTTTAGCTAACGAAAAAAAACAATACTTTTGTTCGCCATTTAAATAGAGATTCTTCGGTTGTTAAATATTTCTTATGAATTGACCCGAGAGAAATTTATGGCTCGTTGAAGAGGAAATGCATTGAAGTATAGATCGAGAGAAGATTGGTTGCAGCGAGGAAAAAGAACACTAAATGGTTCATTCTATAGTGTCAAAGATGAATCGAGAGTATTAGCTATGAAGGCCGAGTGATCAACACAACAACACCGAACTAAACCTCCTTTGTGCCAAAGCTAATATCGAAGTGGCCCTAAAGAATATGTGCCCAACTAGAGCGTTCGAACCGAATCGAACGATGTTCATGCGATATGTGATATATTATAAGAAATCAGCTACATTGGCGAGATCGAAGATATCATTCGAGCCATGTCTCGTTCATCGCAATATGCAATTACTTCAAAAAAGAGACATTTCATAAAGCCTCGGAGTAGAACTTACCCATTTCAAGAAGGAACAGATCAAGAACTGGCCCAGCTTCCATAGATGCTTTCCTTTGCTTTGCTTCAATAAGCTACAAGAAAACAAACCGTCAATCCATTCAGATACGAAGTTTTAATCGAAACAAGACTAAATCCCGTTCTCAAAGGTTCAAGCAAAGCAATCAAAGACTATTCTGCAATATTGAACCGCTCAAACCTACCACTAGCAGATAGTCAGCTTCACGATTATAAAACGCGACTGTTAGGGAGAAGTTTCCACACCCATGTTTCGTTCTCCTCTCCAACCGATGTGGAATCTCACAATCCACCCCTCTTGGAAGCCCAGCGTCCTTGTTAGCATACTGCTCGGCGTGTGACTCTGATACCATTTGGAACAGTCTAACCTCACCGCCCTTTTAGTCCATTATCTATTGCCATCAGCCTCACGGTTCTAAAACGCATCTATAAGGGAGAGATTTCCGCACCCTTAAAAGAAATGCTTCATTCTCGACATGGGATCTCACAAATATCGTATCAATATAGACGAAACAGGACATGAGATTAGAACAATAAGGTTAACACAGTAGTACTTCAGCTTAAAAACATTACAGTAAACTGACCACATTGACTCAAGAACTACCACCAACAACACATCAAAATTGTTTCCCTGGAACAGTTATAAAGCAACATTAGAGAATGCTGTCTATAGAACAAAACTTTCACTGACTTCCATGTCTGTCTTTCAATCTCTCAGTATTACATTCATCAAGCTTCGTTCTTGTTCCCGTCCTCTTCGCCATTTTCGTTGTCCTCCACACTGTAAAGCAAAATTCAGTCAAGATCATACCAGAAAACAGAAATGGGTGAATGTCAAGTTACTTTGTAAAGTTAGCTGATGTGGTTATAGCTATGTTACAAAGCTAGAAATGGTTGAACAGACCTGTCAGGACGAGATTCCGGTGACTCCTCCGGGGGCGACTCCGGCTTCCTCCAGCTCCTCTCTGTTCTGTCCTCAGCAGCACGAGTAGTTCCATTGCCAAAGCTCTTTTTCCCAATGGCGTTGGATTTTTCAGTCTTCTCCATCGACACTTCCTTAATCTTCAACTCTAACTCCTCGTCAAGTTTTTTCCAATCATGTCCTTTCTCAGCTAGAACCTCTTCCCTCGGCCTCGCCTCTCCAAATGGATTCGAACTCTTGGACCTCGCCGTCGTCCCTGATATCTCCGACGACTTCACATCATTCACCGGTAGCGTACGTGGCTGAAGATTAAGCTTCGGCCGACTACCACCACCGCCGCCGCCGCCAGAATTACCTTCATCTTTCTTCCTCCCCCAAGTATCTGAATCCGCACCGCCGCCGCCGCCGCCGCCAATATTACCTTCATCTTTCTTCCTCCCCCAAGTGTCTGAATCCGCACCGCCGCCGCTCGCTGGGAACCCTCCTCGTCGCTCTCTGTCAAATCCGCCGTTAGCCCCAAATCTCCTTGCATCCGATGGAACATTGCTCTTATTAGAAACCCAACTCTCAGATTCGTCGGCTTTTGAGGATTGCGAATCCGAAAACCCTAATCCTCTATCCCTCCTCTCAAATCCATTTCCAGCCATTGGTTTCTTAGTTGAAGCCCAATTATCGACTTCGTCAGCCCTAGAAGGTACAAATTCCTTGCTCGAATCCCCCCTATTAAATCCACCATCGTTCCTCCTATTTTCATCAGAGACCCTAGACGAACCCCACTTCGAGTTAGACGAATCATCACCATTCGAATACCTGTTACTCCTCTCATACGAACCATTCGAGCCATAATTCCTAAATCCACCACCAAGCTTGTTCCGGTCGAGCTCCTCCGCCGTGCGTTCGCGAGGGCCGGTAGGAAGTACCAATACATCTTCATGAGTGCGGCCCTGCGAAGAATATTTCGAGCCGCTACCGGCATGGGCGGTGAACTCCGCCAACGAGAGAGTTTGCCCTTTCTTCTTCTGCTTGGTGGCCAAGGCGTCGTTGAGGGACGGAAAATCCAGGCTGAGCTCCGCCTTCTTCTGCTGCTGCTGCTGCTGCTGCTGCTCCTGCTCTTCTTTGAGGAGTTCAGCTTCGTGCTCCTCGGAATCTAGCGCCCAAGCGCCTGGTTTGCCCCATGGAGAAGCCATTGCCGGCATTGTTGCTCTGCTTCGAGATTCTGTGAGAATTGGGGTTTGCGTTGGTTGGCAGCGAAATGGACGGCTGGAGTGGCTTCTCGAACTTTATAAATTGGGGAATGACAGATTCTGATCGGATGGTTGAGAATTGACAGACATTTGGATTCAACGGTGGACGATGAGGTTCTCACATTTGCTTATCGAATATTATATATATTAAAAAAAAAAGCTTTTTTTTATTCGTAATTAAATGCAAATGTAATTACAATTTAACATAAGATATAATAGAAAGTCAATAAATATTTACAATATCTTAAAATATATATTCGCATTTTTCTTACCAATTCAGTTTTCGTAGTTGCTCACGGTTATTTTGACTATTAACCATAATACAGCTAAGTAATATCAACTTCTGATGATTTCATTTTATCGTATTTAGTAGATAATACATCATACTAATACTTTCGGGCTACTAAAATCAAATACATCATAAACAAAGAGAAACTTACAAAAAAAAAAAAAAAAAAAAAAAAAAAAAAAAAAAGG